GAGCAGTTCTCTCACGTGGCCATGTCACGTGTGTTTCGGGTTTGCATTCAGACTCCAGTCTCTGAGATCGTAGATTCACCTAGACACATCACTGTCCTTCTGTTTCCACTCTGTTATAGTGAAAACCACAAACTCTCACAGGGCTGAGAATCCATGAGGCCAACACAGTAGGACCACAGTTCTTCTTGGAGGCCTACACAAGCTAGTGCAGTACAGATACAAGCAGCAGCAGAGAGCTCAGGCCACCTCATGCCTGTTGCTCCAGAAGGACGTATCTGCAGTAATATTAGCCAGCTTTCCAATGTTAGGCAAATGTGTTTCTCCTAAGATGTCTCTGGAAGATGGTCCTGGAGATTGAACTGTAAGGTTGTATTTGCTGGGATAGAAAAAAAAAAAAATCCATTGTGGGTATTTTTTAATTTTTTTTAAAAAAGAAAAACAGGGAGGGAGGGGAATTGGGTTGCCCAGATGTGCCTGTTTCCACTACATCTATTCTAAGTTCACCCCCTGAATTTATATCTCTGCTGTTGGTAATCTCTGAGAAACCTGCGTAGGATCTCATCAGTTTCAATATGGCTTTGGTGGCAGGTTGAGTGAAGAAAACAAATAAGCTCGTTAAGCCCCATAACTCCTGGAAAATGTAATTGTTGCCTGGACAGTGTCACTGTGACAGAGCAGCCACATCTGCAGACAGGCCTTCTGGCACTTGGACTGCTGGTTGTTTGGAGAGGAGAAACAGTCGTAAACAGTCTGTGCAGACTTGGGGCTGCTCTGTGACATGTGTTTGCTTTTGAGAGTATGGAGTCAAGCTTTCAATTTCCTGGCAAAGAGAAAAATCTGACCTCTAATGGGACAACTTAATGTCTCTGCATCTGCGGTGGATTTGCTTCCTTTATGGTTTGAATTGGCACACAATTTATTTTACTGTGGTAGCATTCCCTAGCCAGGTAAAATAATAGGAGCTTTTCTGTCTCCTGTGAGGAATATTAATTATTTTCAATATGGTAAAGATGTGCAGAATCCATGACAAGACTTGGCATGGTGAGGAAGGAAACAAAGTATTTGTTAAAAAAAACCCAAAACCCAAAACAACAAAAAATGTTAAAAACAGCAAGCATGAACCTACAAGACTGGAAAAGATTAGTATATTTAACTGCAGGGTGGGTTTACTGTACAGGTAAACTGGGAATTAAGGGTGAGAAGACAAGCTGTGAAACAGAACTGCTGGGTGCTAAGAGAAAGGATATAGATGCTACCAAGCAAAGTCCTTAAACATGTATTTGGCTTTAACCTTGTTCTTAAGTTAAGCAAAGCATTTAAGTTTGGGTTTCAGTCAGCATGATGGTATCTTAGTTTAATATTCCAGTAAGTATCAGCAGGACTCAAAAAACACAGGAATGTTTCAGCTGTAAAACCCAGGTCAGATTCTAACAAACCATTTTTCATGGCTCATACATGGGGAAAACCTGTCTCTATTCATTGCAGGGAAGACCAGCTCGCTTCAGGAGGAATGTAGTACTGCAGAAGAGCCAAGGGAAACCATGCATAAGGATCAGCTGTCTCACTGTTTTTATGTTTGCTGGAGAGCCCTGTAGAGAGTCAGCTGGAAGAGGAAGGGATCAAATACAAAAGGTGAAAGGTAATTTAAAACAAAGAGTTTTGTTATTCCTCAGTATTGTCAGTTTTCTTAAAAAATGCATTTCTGCCCATATTTGGTTTCATAATGAAGGATTCATTGCACATTAAAATTCAAGGCTGCTGAGAAATTCTGCAACATGAATTGTGTTTGAATATAGATTTTCCCGTGTTTTACACATGATCCAAGCAAAGTCCTTAAACCATAAACCATAAAAAAATGACTGTGAGGCACCACAGTCATTACATATCTTCTTGGTATTACTTTTCCACATAGTCATATACTAATAGATACCTTGGCACAAAATTAAGTAAGAAACAGGAGTCGGTGGCATGTTAATAGCCACTTCTCCACAGATAGTTTGTTGACAGCTAGTTTCTGGAAAGAATAAATATCATTATAGTTTGGGGCAAAAACTGTAATAAGTAATGATACTGTATACACAGACAGATTTTTATTGTGTCTTACATGCATATACCTTTAGAGGTCCTACCCTTGGTAGCTCAGAACTACTTTGCAGATTGTTTGGAAAACACAGTCTCTCTGTCAAATACATCTTAAACAGAGTGCAAGGTACAAACCAGGAGTGTGATGTGTGAGCAAGGTTTTGTGACAATAACTTGGAAATGCCGATGAAAGTTAAGTTGTGAGTGAGATCTCCTGGGCTTAAGCTGTAAGAAGTTTAGCAGCTGTGTGCTGATGTTTAACAATTCAGACAAGTTGCATCTGTAGTAGTAAAAGTAGGTCCAAGGCATGAGATTTCATGCTACCACATTGCAGTACATGTTGTTTATATCTTAGCATGACAACCAGCACTCTCCCAGACAGTGTCTAGGCAGGGTAAAGGGAATAAAACAGAAGAGAAACTGTTCCCAGCAGACAATATGCAGGAGACCACTGTTTGGGAAAAGGGAGAGAGTTTAGCTGCATGGCGAGGGCCTCGCAGCAGAAGAGTGGGTCCTCCTATTGGGGTATCACAGGTTAACTCTGGTGGAAAGGGACCTCAAGAGGTCACTGGCACAGCCTCCTGCTCAAAGCAGGGTAAGCTATGAGGTCAGACCAGCCTGCTCAGGGCTTTATTCAGTTGAGTCTTGAACAACTCCAAGGATGGAGCTTGCATGGCCTCACCAAGCAACCTGCTCTACTGCCTCACTGTCCTCATAGCAGAAAAGCTTTTCTTTATAACCCTCTGAACAGCAGTCCTGCCTTCACCCAAACTTGGTGAGAGCTTGTTCTGTTGCCTCCTTGAAATCATTGATAGGACAGGTCCCATTAGCTACAGTGCTCTGCTCATAATGGGCACCCAGGGAGAGTATCGCCCTTTAACCACCACCCTCTGAGTCTGTTAAACCACCAGTTTTTTACCCTAGTGATCTGTCCATCCAGACCATAACATCCTAATTTGGATAACCATGTGTAGAAAGAGCTTGTACCTACCTTGCTAACTCCAGAAGCAGAATGAGAACTTGAAAGAAACTGGAAGAAATACATTGTAAGGAGGCACTTCAAAGAGTAAGGTCAGACAAGGCTCTTAATTGAAGAAACTGTATGAGGGACTGTCCAGGGTGAGAGTGGATATGGGGGTGTCAAGATGGGCCAGTAGCTTGAACAGAACAAACTGGGCTCCACATGGAGTGACTGAGCCTGGTCATACAGGGTACAAACTGGTTTTATAATGAAGCCATAATCACAAGCTATGCATCAGAAGCTTTCCACAGGCCAGGTGACAGGTCTTCCTCTTCTTCACCTCCCAGAATAACATGAGCACATGGGATTTCTACCTGCTTACAGGGAGAAATGCTTCACCTCCCTTGAAATGCTGCCTTTTCGGCATGGGAGGACAGTAGCAACTGAACTGCATAAGGCTTTCTTTTCCAAGTGTGAAAAATGGAGTGTTGTCACTATTGGAAATAGAAGGGCAGGATAGGAGTCCTTGTGCAGCTGGGATGGAAATGCAAGACATCAGTAACCCCAAACATTTACATTAGGATTTGCATTACTTCGAATGACAATTTGCAAGGCAGAGACAAAGCTGTTCCCAGTTGTCAAGACGGTGTCTGAGGAAAGCAGAACTGTCAACAACAAAAGAGGTCAGAGCAGATTTCTGTGATCTCTCTGAAAATACAAGCAATGTTAGAGGAGTAAGAGAGATTGGAAGAACCGCTTAAAAGTTTAGAGTGAGTTTCCCTCAGAGGGAAGAGCCTGGGCAGGTATGTAAATAAACCCCCAGGCAGAGAACATTTGTAGGCAGCGTAGGCTGAAAAGGGGGCAGAAGAATGTTCAAAGACATCCTTACAGAGTTCTTGTCATTTAAAATGTTTTAAAATGATAATAAAAACCCGTGTCTTTTCCTTCTGTCTGCAAGGAGACTGAAGGATGCAAAGCAAGGCACTGCTGTTGTGTTTGGCCAGTAGCCAGCCAGACAAGTAAGACCAAAGGGCATGTAACAGTTTGTGCGCGTCTCAATGGGAAGTTTACTTCAAAGCTGAGCTCTGGAAACAGAGATCCAAGCACAGATTTCCCCCCCTTCCCTCCCCTTTTCTTCTTTTTCTCTTTAAAGTGCAGGCAAGTTATTCTTTGTGTCAGTGAGAATAGTTGGATTAATAACCCTGGAGCATAAAATTATGAGTTCTGTTGCACAGAATGGGCAGGAGCAATATAAGCTTTCTCTACACAGTGTGCTACTGTGCTTCTGTCTCAATTTATACAATGCACAACCTGGGGACACAGGGAGGCTTGGGATGTGTAGCTCATTTTTCTCTAGCCTCTGTGAGGTTGCCAGCACCAGTTGTGAGGTCAGGCCACTTTTTTTTTTTAGATTTGGACTATGCTTAGTAGCTCATTTTGACTTTAGTCTTCAAACAGTGAGAGGAAGCAAGTTGCATGCTCTAAAAGCCCCCAAATCCCGAGTTGTCAGCAAGAGGATATTTTTTCTGAGGTAACTGGCAGCAAGTTCCCTCCTGTTAAGTTACTGTGGCACAATTGCGTGGCGCAGAGATGCTCCTGCTCCTATAAATGTGCTGGATTTATAGTGGGAGCTATTTCACCACCTTTGAAATGTTGTTCCACTTAGGAGACTTCTGTCACGGTTTCCAGCGTAGCTAGGCTGCTGCTGGCACCCAGACCTGTTCATTTAGGGTTAGCTCCTGCGTTGCGCTGTTCCGCGTAACTGTGCTCCCCTCCTCTTCCCTTAGCCATGGATCCTCAAGAATCCTGTTACCAGACTGGAAATAACTTGCTTAGCCCCATAAAACACAGCTAACTTTTTTTCAGACAAGGTTTTTGACAGGACAGGTGGCCAAAGGCATTTGTAGGCACTGCTGGGGAAAAGAGGTTAACAGGTTTGGTTTCTGCTTGAACTCACCAGCACGAATACGGGCATCTCCGGCTGTAGCGGCAGCAGTAAAATTGCCATTCACGATCAAGCACAGATGGAAAATACTGACTCTGGAAACCAGCCACCAGCCCATTGTTTGAGCAAGTTTGATACCTAAGAAAGGGGAGAAAGAAGAAAACACATAAGGAAAACATGATATTAGATTGCCCGATCTTTTCAAGCATTTCTGGAAATGGCATTAAAGTTTTGATTGAGGGTGGGAGCTAAAGGTTTGGCTTTGTTACTGAGAATACACTTGCTGTGTATTGGGTAACCATTTTGTATAAAAAAGCAGCAGTAGTTAACTAGTGATGTCTTAACATTTATGTTGCACTTAAAACTAAACTGTTTTAAAGTATTTAATCATTCCAGTATGCTACTCAGGCAAGAAGATTGTTCTAGTGTCAACCTACTCAACTGTTTATAAATCATGAGACTGACTTGAAAATATCTTTGTCTTTGTTGGTAGTTGAGCATTTGGGGTTCACTAGAGTAATTTTTTCAACTGCTTCTTTACAAAAAAGAAGCCTTTGAAACTCTTTTATAAGAGAAGTTCAGCAATTTCTTTAATTTTATTGTTTCTCAGTTACCTGTCTCCAGGAGAAGGCACTCTTAATTCAAAACATAGTAGGCTGGTGATGAAATAATGATTTGATAACAATCACATGAGGAAAACTGAGACTTAGCACCCTCCTAGCCTCATTGTTTCCCTATTGGAGAAAATTACAGGAATTTGGTTTCTTCCATTCTTCCATTTCCTTTTCTTTCTTTTTCTTTCATCAAGGAAAACTGGCACTCTCGAGCTGTAGCAAACCTTCCTTGCAATACCATAAAATCAAATACATTGGTATATCCAAAAGACACTTTAAGAAGTAACTTTATAATTAACAAATACAAAAAAATTCCCCTAGTTTCATTCAATGACTTCATAGTTTATTTTCATGAGCCTGAGGTTCCCAGGAGGAAAAATGCATAGTCTAGCAGAGTTTGGTGTTTGGAAAGTCATTCACTTGTGCATACAGGTGTTAGTGCTCACAAAGCATCAGGCTCAGGTGTTTGCATGTAAAAGTTTAAAAACTGATCAGTTTTGACCAGTGCAGCATTGAATTCCCCTGCCTAACTTTCAGGTTCCTCCTTTGAAGCAGGGCTCTTTCCATATGTACCTTCCACTGTGTTCTGTTGTTCAGACAAGATTATTTACATTTGTTTGTATCCCTGCAATTCCCACGTTGCTGAGGCCACACGTACTTGCTGTGCTTTGTGAGACTCTTCCGAGGACCTCCAGAGTTAAGTTGCTATGGTATCACGCCAAGT